GTGTTTAACTTTTAATGCTTTTTGGTGAGACTCATGTGGGCCACAGAAAAGTCTAGAGCACAGATCTGATGTGGAGGAAGCTGGAACTAAGTAGGTGAGGGACTTAGGGCAAATAAGGATGCTTTGAGATTATTGCCTTGGCTTAATTTATTCACTCATGGAACTAACATATTTTCGAATGCCTGATAGTTACCAGGAAATGGCACTGGAGCCAGAGTCCCTGCTCTCAGGGCCTCTTTGGAGCGGGGTGGGGAACAAGTAGGTAGGTTTTATATGGTCATAACAACAGTGTAGTGACCTTGAACGCAGCTGAGGTGGGGATGTGATTCTCAGGTCTCAGGAAGGGGTGTGAAGGAGGGCTTCGTGGAGGGGAGGGAAAGTGATAGGTAACAGGAGAGCTGATTCTTGAAGCTTGAGGTTGAAAAGTTTGCCAGGGTCATTCCAGGCAAAGGGACAGAATGTGAAAAGGCAGAGAGGCGGGCCACAAAGCACGCTGGAAAGCATAGTTTCATCCTGGGGGTGGCTGGAGACGTGTTGCCTCCTGTAATGAAAAAGGTTCTGAGGGTGGTATTAGGGGGACTCTCAAGTGGGGAGAATCCAGCTTCGTTGGTGAGCCCCACTGTGCCCTTGGCCCTTTCTTGAATCGCTGCTTCTGCCGTCGCCCAGGATCCAGCTCAGAGCTGAAGGGAGATAGTTGGTCAGTGGAGAGATAGTTGGTCAGTGGAAATGTGCTCAGGAGAGACCGGAATGGGAGAAACTGGGAGGTTTGGCCAGGTGCAGGGTTTGAGATGGGGAGTGGCAGGAAAGGGGTTGTGCGAAGGGGGTCAGGACCAAAACATGAGGAACATCTGAAGCCCTGTAGAGCAGTGGTCCCCAACCTTTTTGGCACCAGGGACCGGTGCTCGTATGAGAATCTAATGCCTGAGGATCTGAGGCGGTGATGCTGGCGCTGGGGAGCCGCTGTGAATACAGATGAAGCCTTGCTCACTTGCCAGCCTGTCACTCACTTCCTGCTGTGCAGCTTGACCCAGACCAGGGTGGTGACAGTGGGAACGGTGGCTTCCTCAGGCATGGCTAAGCTTCTTAAAGTCTAGACCCAAAAGACTGGTGTTCCAGCACTTTCTTGTCTGAGCCTACGGTTTTCTGCCTGGAGGTTGACATTGGGAACTTCTTACTCTCTTTAGGTGGAGTTTTGTCCTCTCGCCCATAGGACAGGTGGTCCCCTCGGGCTTCATCAAGGTGACAGTATGTCTGTGTCACAGTGAGCCCAGCGTGCACACAGGAAATGCTTGCGTAGCACCGTGGGGCAGGGCGACGAGAGGCCAGAGGTCAGAAGTGGAGCAGGATCTTGGGAGGTTTGGAAGCGGGGCTTGGGGGTCCTGAGGTAATGAAAGGCCTGGAGGGAGACTCAAGTTCAGATGTGTCGTGTCTGAAGTGTCGCTCTGGAGACAGCGTGGGACTAGAAGGGCTGAACCTGGAAGCAGGGTGGCTCTCAGCAGTCAGACAACTTGCGAGGACTTTAAGGCAGTGGCAGAGGGTATGGATTAGATTTAGGAAGAAAAATCTACAGGACTTTTGCTGAAGTCTGCACTTGGGCGAGGGGGAGGGAGACTATGACAGTGCTTGTCGTGCGTGGACTTTCTGTTGAGTCGATGAGACGTTCTGTATCTGTGCTCTACTCGCCACATGTGGCAATCAAGCGTTTAAAATGTTACTAGTGTGACTGAGGAACTGAATTTTCAAATTTATTTAATCATATGCAAAGGGTTTAGTGGGAAGCACACTGTTCGAGGCTTCGTTCCTCTAAATGTCATCCCTTTTAGTGTTTCCAGCAGCTCTGTGAGGTGTAAGATACTATTCCTTTCTTATAGATAATGGAAATAGAGGCTCAGCGAGACGATTGCACCCCATATTAAGTAGTACAGTGAGTCCCTGATTGTTGAACTGGGCTCTTTCGACTGGATCCTACTTCTTTCTGCCAAGGGGCCCAAGGGCCTGAAGTTCTCTGAAGTGGTGGCGTTGTTCCCTGATTAACCCTCCTTATTTGTTCCCTGCTAGACAGTTCCTGATAAACCGGCAAAGACCAAACAGAAAACTGTCCTGAGCTGGTTGTTTTGCCCGAGGCGTCTCCCTGCTACCTCTTACATCTTCCTAATGGCAGCTGTTCCCTTAGGGGTTTTGGAAAATGGATGGAGTAAGAAGGCAGGTGAAACTGCAGATCAGCGGAACTGTGCGGCTCATTTGTATAAGATTATTTTACCCGAAATATGGTTAAGGATTTGGTGGTGAAAGCGGTAGGAATGAGTGCCTCAGAGGAAGTTTTGCAGTCACAGTGGACCATGTAGTGCCCAGGATAGTGGCAAGGTGATGGGACATGAGCCAGGAGTGAGTTTGTAGCTTGCCCCTCACTCCTTGGAGGTCCTGATCAAGTCACTGCCTCTCAGAGTCTCCTTTTTTACTTCTGTAAAATTAGGGTATTTGGCGTCGCATGACCTTTGAGATCCCCCCAGCTCTAAGCTTCTACAATGGTAAGTTTAATCGGAGGTTTACTCTCTGGAACATCTCTTATTCCTCTCGGGGATGGACACGTGCTGGTGGTTCAGTATGCCTTTCACCTCTGTATTGGTGTGTTTTACTATTATTGGTGTATTGTTAAGTAACATGTCCGTTTGAGTTAGTTACACAGGATGTCACAGCTGATGGAGAAACTGTAAAGCAGTTAATGCTTTAGCTATTGGCAAAATTCCTAGTTAAATGTCAAGTATATTTGTTTGCCGTTCTGAGCTGCAGTACTGTTAGGAGCCATGAGAGACTGTGCTTACCGTGGCATTTGGCCTCCGAAAAGGGTTTCATGTCAGCCTTGGCTGTGTGAGTGGTAATGATGATCGTCACTTCACAGGGCTGTTGAGAGGATTAGATGAGATAATGCATGTAAAGTGCTTCGTACTTTCTCTTGACTCTAATAAGAGCACAAAAAGTGTCAGTAATTTAATGTTTTTGAATTCAAACTTGACCTTGAAACTTTTTATTCCTGGGGGGTTTTGTTATTACCTCGGTTTGAACATTTATACCCAAGCACTGGTTTCAAGAAGCAAGTGAACACATTTTGATCATTACAAAATAAGCATTTTTTTCCCCCTTACAATTCATTTTGACTGAATAAAAGTGATCGGTTAAGTAGCATATGTTCAAATTAAGGTTTTGTGTTGCCTGTAAATTGAAGAAAACAATTCATTCCAAAGCTCCCTTGCTAGTAATGGCTGGGATTAAGTTTGACCAGAACTGTGGTTAAATTAATATGCAGTTCTGGTGACTGCCTTGTAAAAGTATGCAGTTGGAAGCCCGCTGTTGCTGCAGGGGAGAAGCTGGCTGCTGAGCTGGTTTATAGTAGCAGGTTGACATTTTACAGTTGACGAGGACCTTCACATATTCAACTCACTGAGTCTTCCTGGTACAGTCAGTGGTGTGGGTTCCCATTGGACAGATTCGGAAACTGAGGTTGAGAGCGGCCTCGCGGCCGGGAGTGGCGTTTTCCCGACTCCAGATCCGTGTTTCTCCGCGGTGCTTCCGCTGCTGCTTGCGGCGGAGCTGTTGTGGTTTCCAGCCAGGCTTCTCTTGCGGTTCTGGAAGCTCACTTTTTGTTATCGGTGCCTTGTTTCCGGCTCAGGGGAACCTAGTCATGCTAATCAGCCTCCCCGGAAATACATCGGCCTGATCACAGGTGATTCCTTTGTGGTTGAAAGTGTGATTGTCAGACGTACTTGGAAAGTTACCCTTGCTGCCCATGATTTCTGCTTCTGTGGCCCCTCCCCAGTCTACACGGAGAACCAGGTCACAGTGTAAAGGGCAGTTTGTGGGAATCTGGTCAGAGTAATGACCTGCGTGCCTGTCGTTGAGCTTTAATAGGCACGTGCGTCCCTCCGCTGTGACGTGCTGGCGAGCGGGAGGCTGCTGGAAGTGCCTGCTTGCTGTCTCCGGGCGTCCAGACGGGCCCAGGTGTAGTCAGTACAGCGATGGGTCTGGCCTCCTTTAAGGACATCCCGCCCTTCAGAAGCGCCTGGTTACACGGACGACACGAAGAGGCGGTGTTCCCCGGTCTCCTGTCTCCCGAGTAGCACAGTTACACAGCATTCTCAGTGCCGGGTACCTTTGTAACAGCAGGGGAAGGACTGATAGGACAGTAATACCCTGACAGGCTGCCCCGCCCTCCCACGAAGTAGTCTCAGTGACCTGTGTCTAACTTTTTCCGCAAATTCTGGGCTGGGGGCATCGTATTTCATCACTAGCGATTGAGCACAGGGAGTTCAAAACCCAGCCTTCGGAAACTTTGGTGCCTGTTTGCGATGACCTCGCCACTGCTGTGTACGAGGGTGTGTCTCGAGCGTCGCCGTGCGCCCCCCTCCATCGTGAGCAGGCGCCGTTCGCGTGGGAGCTCTCATCTCTCCGCTCTTCATCTGCTCAAAAGCCATATGATAATTTATTTATAGAAAGAAAGAAAAGTTTTTCAAAAGATAGTTTTGAAGATCCCACAGACTTGAAACTTCTAATTTACGGTTTGTGCTTATAAAGCGAAAGCGCAGTTTGTAATAGAAAGTAATTAGTTTTAGGTTTTTTGTTATGCCAATTCAATAATTACTATTCCTGACATTGTCTCCCTCCCCCTCAAAACTTCGTGAACTTTCACGCGTTGATCTGTCTTCTTTCCCATCCCTCTGATCGTCACGGCTCTGTAGAACCGTGGTGCCAGCGAGTGTTTCACATGGCCGTGCCTTGGCCTGCTGCAGCAGGTCTCCGACTGGCCTCGCTGGGGTTGCTTATGCAGCTGGGTCATCTGCCTCCTTGCCTGGCGCTGATTAGCCCTGGTGGCCTCTCCCCCATGTGGGCGGTTGGTGCTGCGTTGTCAGCTCATGTGCCTGGGCTCTCCACTGTGGCCGTTCACCCTCCCAGGAGGCTAGACTGAGCCTCACAAGGCAGACTTCCTAGAGGGCAGGTTCCAGTGTCTCAGTGCTCATCAAGCTCTTGTTTGCTGATATCCCATTGGCCAAGGAAGTCACATGACCAAGCCTACAGTCAGTAGGTGAAGGACTATACAGGGGTGTGGTTACCGGGAGGCCTGATGGGGGCTGGGAGGTCATTAACAGCCTAGTTAGGGAGTGAGGGAGGCTTTGTTTTGCCAGCTGTTAAGTGACAAGTTTGGTGTCCGTAGTTTAGTCTTTTTTGCATGGGACTCAGTTTGATGAGCATTTATTTAGTGCTGAGGGCTGGGAGTTCATAGAACAAGGCAGTCTCTGGCCACTCTGAAGCTAGTTCGTAAAATACTCATGGCCTCAAATTTTAAGCAGAAAATACCCTGTGAAGATTTTTATTCGTGGCTTTAGATAACAAACACAGGAACTGCTTATTCAAAATCTGTGTTGGGGCCTGATTTTGCTTTCAGAAAATACTGATAGGTCCTTGAAAAAAAGAAAAAAGGGTTGCTATGATGACTTGGCTTTGGGCCTGCAAACTGTGGTGACGACATGATCACCAAGGAAACCAAAAGATGCAGCTTCTAAAAGGTCTCTGAAGGCTTTTCTTACCGTCGTCTGGAATCCGATTGGCTTAGAAGAATGGCATTGGGGATGGGAGTCGAACTCTGGGGCTTGCTGTCCTAGGACACAGGGAGAGACTTGGGCTACTTTCTAGGTTATTGGGAGATTTGGCTCGGATGATTATGCTGCTGAAAGAACAGGAAATGAGGTAATGTCTTTAAACATGTAGTGCTGTAATGAACTGTAAATGGCCAAATATGGGCAGCTATGCAGTTCATCATTCCAGAGCACTGTGCTGAGTTTTAATGTAATCGAGGACTTCCCATGTTGGCTACTTTGATCCTTAAGGGTACATGTCAGTGTGAAGGTCTAGAGGCCCATCTGCCGGTGGAGGTTGGAGCCTGTGTGATTGATTCTGTTTGAAGTGTAAGGAGCCAACTCCAGACCTTTGTCAAAGTCAGGCCCTGAAGGAGTTTTGAGCCCTTAAACCAGCAACAAAGCACACAGGCATGCAAGCTCTCACCTGTTATTTAAGTGTTCAGGGCTTGGAGTGATAACTTATTCTTTTGGAAGACTTTGAACTTACTTAATTATGAAGCGAAGTCCAGCCCGTAAAAGTTTAAATTGTTCATCCTGTTTTGCAGCTGTGTAAAAGCAATACTTGTTTTCAGTTTGTAACTATAACCATGTGTATTATGGAGAATCAAAAAAGTAGTTGAACAGTAATTGAAAGGACTAGAGATAGATTTTTAAAGTTCTTTACCATGGAAACAATTTGGGGCATTTCCTAAGTCTTTGACCAGTGACTGTTTAAAAAATATTCCAAAATGTTGTGTAGAGAAGGCTGAGATAAAAGACCCCTTCCCAGAGGCGAGAAGGGGTCACCATTTCAGCCATGTGAATTATTTGGGGAGGGGCAGTGGTGGGGGGTAATTGAATTAGTTCACTGATAAGCATCTCATTAACTTTTCAAGTCAAGCACACAAGAGGATATGTGGATGGCATAAAGTTTTCCTTTGGTTTTTTTCCAGCGTCATACCCTGGAAAATTATTTTTGGTGACCTGATTTTAATTGAGGGGAAAACAAAGATCACACATCTGAAAAGGTGGTTTTCAGTCAGTGCTCGTTAGGGTATGGCAGAGCAGGCCCTTGGATATTCCGCTGGCCACTGTCCTGGAAAGCAGTTTGGCAGTGAGTGCCGAAATGTTTTACAGTGTTCATGTTCTTTAACTCAGCAGATCTGCTTCTCAGAAACCTCTCCTGAATAAATAATTTCAAAATGCATTTAAAAAAAAACACGCAAAGATGGTTTCTCAGAGTTACGGTAACATCCTGCCTGCATCAGGGGTATAGGTGGAGTAAGTGATGGCGTGAAAATAAGCTAGGATTCTGTGTACGTAGCTGTCACACTTTTATTTATGAATCGTTTTTAATAACATGGGACGTGTTCTTATTCTAATGCATGAAAAAAGTAGGATGTGAACTATGGTCTCAAGTGACTGAAAATTTTAAAGTAAAATGCCTAGAGGGAAAAATATAAATGTCAGTAACAGTTATTGCTCATAGGTAGTAGGATTATAGGCTTTTTTAAACTTCATTTTTCTGTATCTTTTCTCGTTACAGTGAATAATTCTATAATTAGGGGGAAATGTGATTCTGGAAAAGTTGTGGAGTTTGGAGATAGTTTGGCAATAGAGACCTAGCTGGTTCAAGATTCTTGTTTTATAAGTGAAGAACTAACCTCTTACTTTGGTCATTTCTTTGGACCGGATTGCAGTAGGGCCGCGGGGAGGCCTGGCCTCTCGGAAGACTTGCTGAGAAGTGTCATGCGCCACCCCAGTCACAGTGCTCCGTGCCCCGGACCCTCCCCTGAAAAGCGGCCCGCCTCGCCTTCGCTCCGCGTTGGCCAGTCTCTCCCCCGGGCTGAGTCACTGGCGTCCGTGTCAGCCGGAAGCTCTTCTGGAACAGCCATGAGGGGATAGCACGAGGACCCGGGCGTGGAGGCCACCGCACCGTCTGTGCTCGGTGCACCTTAGTGTCCCTTCAGTTTCCGTCCAGCGCGGAGTCTGCATCCAAGCCGTGGCCTGGCCCGGCGGGTCCCCCAGACTTAGGAACAGCGGCTTACGAGACATTTTGGGTGTGGGTTCTTTTGTATATGGCGTTTTTCAAGTATTCCGATTTAAGTAAAAATCCAGGAGCTTTGATTTTAATTCCAGCCTTGCTGCTCTTCCAGGATTCTATTCTAATAAAAGGAGTTTTATCTTGAAAATTGAAGTCACGTCTGACTAACTTTTCTCTGTAGGATTCACAGATGGATTCAGTGGAAAAGACAACAAACAGAAGTGAACAGAAATCAAGGTAAATAAAGTGAGCTGCACCTTCGAGCAGGTCGCAGTGCCACGGGTCTCCTTGTGCTATGGGCACCTGCAGAGGCAAATGAAGTGAGGACGCTGGGCCAGGAGGGACGCTCAGGGGCCGTGTAGCCACCTTCGCTTCAACATAAGAAACGTTCCAGAAGGCAGTTTTCCCTTTCTGCTCAAGGGAGGGACCGTAACCTGGTCTCCGAACCCAGCAACAGCCATCACAGAGTCACATCTAAGATTAGGAATGCCATGCTTAGCCAGAAAGAATTCCCTGACCGTAGGCCACACGTCGTGCCTGTGATGAAGAGATGCCGGGGGGGAGGAGCTGATCTTGGAATGCGCTGGGGTTGATAAGTGGCAGAAAACCAGCATTTTGCCAGGAATTTTATCTGTCATGGCAAGCAGGGGTCATTTTGTCATCATGGTTATTTTTAAGCTCTTTGCAACTTCATAGGAATTAAAATTGCTGAGCTTTTCGCTCACTAATATATCACTTACACCAGGGGGGATTCAAGATGAGAAAGACACAACTGTCCCCAAGTTCTTTATGGAATGAGGGTAGAACATGTAAAATAAACAGACAACAAGCAATAGTACACAGGCTCTGTCTTCCCGTAGCACAGAGCCGGGGACAGGCACTTGTGCGCGCGGTGCAGGCCGGACTCGGCCGAACCCTGCGTCGTGAGTCTTTGGGGCTGCGGGACTCCGTGTTCCCTTTCATTCTCTCCCTCCCTTGTTCTGAAGCAGAAAGTTTTTGAAAAGCCTCATCCGAAAGCAGCCCCAGGAACTGCTGCTGGTCATTGGGACCGGTGTCAGTGCAGCGGTGGCCCCGGGAATCCCCGCCCTCTGCTCGTGGAGGAGCTGCATTGAGGCCGTCATCGAGGCTGCGGAGCAGCTGGAGGTGCTGCACCCCGGGGACGTCGCCGAGTTCCGCAGGAAGGTGACGAAGGACCGGGACCTGCTGGTTGTTGCCCACGATCTGATCCGGAAGATGTCGCCTGTAAGTCTTTCTCAGACAGGTACTTCAGCTTTCCCTGGAGTGACTTGGTTCTGGGCCAGGCCGGCGAGTCTGAGACTGACATTTAGATTTCTGCGCGTCTACGTGCTATCTTTTCTCAGCAGTCAGGCTGACGAGCCAGAAATCTGTAAGTCCCTCAAAAGATCATCTCTCTGAACAGTGGTGCCGGGGACAGTATGGAGCTCCTGACACAGCCCGTGTTAAACGGAGCCTGAGTGTGTGAGATTGTGGCAGGGGTGTCGTCAGGCTGCACTGGGGACGAACTTTACGGTTTCGTATTCGTTTCATGAAGGCGTATCTTTGAGGCGTGTTTTTGGGCTGAGCTGGCTGGCTACATCCCTTCAGATGACGAGTGGCTTCTGAAAACACTTTAAGATGGGAGAGGTTCGAGCATCTCTGTCTGCAGCGGAGATGGCCCTGTACAGGAAGAGCACGCGCGGCCTCAGGGCCCGCTGCGGGGTCCGTGGGCCGGTGCAGGCGTGGGGCCTGCCTGGTCCGGGTGCGCGGCCAGGCCGTCGTGCAGTCGGCCGCGGCGTACAGTGGCCGATGCTGGGGCAGAGGCCCGTGGCGGGCTCCTCCTCGTACTCCTGTGTTTACTGAAGAAGCACAGCCGCCACCTGAGAGTCGGGCGGGGAGTACGTGTTGGGGGTGAACACGGGAAAGCATGAAACAGGGATGCGGTGGTCGTCAGGAGGCGAGCAGAGTTTAGGCTGCTGTACAAAGATACCCCAAACCGCTGGCTTCAGTGTGGTGACGTTGCTGTTTCTCTCGTAAAAGGCTGCGTGTGGCGGCCCCAGGAGCGCGTCGCGGCCTGACCGCGCTGGGGACCGGCTCCCGTTGTGTTGCTCTGCCCTCTGCACCCTGCAGCTTCCATCTCGTGCTCTGAGCTGGCGCCCCAGCTCCAGGGGCCACGTCTCATTCTTGTCCTGTCGAAGGTCTCAGCAGTGCCTGCGCTCTGCCTGTCACCTGATTTAAGATGCCCTTCAGACACCCGGTTCCTAGACTCAGTGAAGGGACAACCAGTACTTTGCAGCTCTCGAGGGGAAATTTGGCCTGTGAGGCCCCAAGTGATCTGCTTCCAGGTCACCCCTCTGACCTCACCCGCTGACAGAGCCCCTCACTCCTCTGTTGCCACGAGGGCCCTTGCACTCACTCTTCCTCTGCCTGGAGATCTCTTTCCAGAGGCCCCTTCTTCCTCAGCTCTGTGCTCAGATGTCTCTCATCAGGGAGGAGGCCCCTCCCTGCTGTCCTGGGACCCATCCACCCTTTGCCCCCAGCAGTGTCATAGTCGTGTCCCCTTCCCCCCCTGCTTCCCCCTTTTCTTTTCCCAAAGCGTTTATCAGTGTTGATGGATCACTTACGGATTTGCATATTATTTGTCTCCCACCTCTCGAGTTTTATAAACTCTGTGAGGTTGCGGGTTCCCCCCTGCTCCACTCAGAATATTACCTGGGTAGGTGCCCGGTCGTTGTTGACAGATGATGTTTTTGTAACTCCCGGCCCACCTTCCCACAGCGGACAGGCGACACCAAGCCCAACTTCTTCCAGGACTGCCTGATGGAGATCTTCGACAACCTGGAGCAGCACATCCAGAACCCGCTGGTGCTGCAGTCGATCCTCGGCCTGATGGAGCGGGGCACGATGGTCCTGACCACCAACTATGACAACCTGCTGGAGATCTTCGGGCAGCAGCAGAACAAGCCCATGGAGTCCTTGGACTTGAAGGACAAGACTAAGGTTCGGGCTGCGGGGCCCCGGGGGCGGGAGGCGGGTGGATGGGGAAGGCTCTGAGTGTCGGCACCGCACCGTTGGGTGGATGCGGAAGAAGCCTTCGTCTCTACAGCAGGGAGTCAGTCGGCAGGAAAGGCGCTGTCAGCTCTCCATGAAACCCCACTGACTCGGCCCTAACGCTGAGCTCGCCTCTTCCCAGTGGTGGGGCACGGAGGGCAGCTCCCTGAGTGTCCCAGGACCCCCTTATGGCCTGCACTTGGTGCCTTTTTTTTTTTTGCATTCTCTTCTCCTGATGTGCCAGAGTTCCTCACCTGCATTTATTCATTACAGGAAACATGGGTAATAAATAAAATAGCTAAGGAACGGAGAATCGCTCACAGCCCTATTGCTGTGAATTTGGTTAATTTGCTTTCTATCTTTTAACAAATTGAGATTATAATATATATAGTTATTACCCTGACTTTTTTAATACTGTATTTTCTTGTCAGTAAGCTGTTTTTAAAAGCATGATTTTTAAATGGTGGTATAATTTTAAAAGTAAGGTATCGTTACCCTTCTCTTACGTTAGCATATTTTTTTCACTATTAGACATCGCGCTACAGCGGAAATCCTTATGCTTCTCTGTCTCTATTTATTTCTTTAGGATAAATTCCTAGCAGAGTTTCAGGGTCAAAGGGTACGAATATTTTAAAGACAGGTGATCTAAGTCAGCAGATTGTTTTCCAGGAGTGCCCGCCGACGCGGACCAGCCGAGTGTGGCGCACAGGCAGCCCGCGCTGCTGCACTGCACGGTCGTGCGTTTTTCTCCAGCAGAGAGATGACGACGCGCTCCGCGTGGTCCTCCTTTTCTGCGGCATCTGAGTCTCCGAGGGATGCCTGTATTTCCTTCCCGTATCTCGCCAACACGTGGCGTTACGAACAAAGCAAAACACATTCTACCCACAGGATAGGTGGAAATGTAACGTTTTTATTTCTCTCTTTACTGAGGTTGAACACGGTTTCATTTTATTGAGTACATTTCTTTCATGGCACGGTCACGCCTCGTCAATTTGTTTACGGGTTTTATGTTATTACTACTAATACCGCCACCCGCGTTGTCTGGTCACTTCGTGAGGGAAGGCCTCAGCCCCTGTACATGAGGAACCCGACGTCTCACTCAGGACCTGAGTCGTGTGGGGACTCGGCTCCTGCCCCTTGGGTCCCCTTTCTGCAGAGTGTGGCAGAGAAAGCATGGCGGGCGGTCCCGTGCGCATGGACTCACGTGGACCGGCGTGGGGACTGTGCCGATGTGACCACATGGTGGCGTCGCACCCTCTCTGGATAGGACCCCTGCTCTAATGTCCGAGCAGCATGGTCCCTTCTGGGAGGCCTGCTCCCGGTTCTGGTGTCCCGGGAAACACACCGCGATGGCATATGGCAGAGGTGCCAGCTGCTCACCTGCCTGCTTTATGCTGGCGAAGCTGCTGGTGTTCGGTGTCGCCGGTGCTGCCCGCCAAAGCAAAAGCCCCTGGTGTGAAGATGAAACGGAACGTACACGATGTGCGTCTTCTAAGGACCTTTGTGCCGAATCTGGAACCAAAATCAGTTTAGGGTGGTTTGATGTTACTTGTTCCATATATTTTTTCTGGGTGTAAAAACACGATGTACATAGCAGTAATCCAAGTACAACGTGTAACTTAGTGAAAGTCCTCGAGTCGCTCTGTAATCAGTCTGAACAGCTGCTGTGATCTCAGATGGTAAAGGCGTTTTCTGCACTGTCTTTAAAGATGTTCTTTCTGATACGATGTGACCAAGAAGAAGCGCTAATGGCTGAGTTACTCTTAGGTTTTAAAGGTTTAATTATAAGTGGAAACATCTCTTTCTGAAGGAGATTTGAAAAACCACGAATCCTATGTAGGCGCTACCCGTTTACATCTTTTTTCAGTAATACCCACTTTCTCTTCTTTGGGCTCGATTTTTGACAGGTCCTTCAGTGGGCGAGAGGACACATCAAATACGGGGTTCTCCACATCCATGGCTTGTACACAGACCCCTGTGGGTTGGTGTTGGACCCGTCAGGATATAAGGATGTGACTCAAGACCCGGAAGTAATGGTACTGCCCGTCTAATTCCGCGGTGTTCGTGCCCCGTGGGGCCGCGTGGTGGCCGCCAGCCATCTGGCCGCAGTCCGAGCGGTTTCCCGGCCTCTAGGCCTTCGTGCACTTTGGGTCCACATGGCTGCGGGGGGTGGGCCTGCCCCTCTGCCCCCAACTGTGTGTCCAGGGCCTGACACAGCGTCTGGCACATCACACAGGTGCTCAGTAAACGTTTGTTGCGGGACTTTTTTTAAAATGCGGGTCCGACCTGACTTTCTCATTGCCACCAGCCATTCTGGGACTCCTGCTCAGGGGACAGCTGAGTTTCCTCAGCGTGACCCGCAGGCCCCGCACGGTCCCCAGTGCTGTCCTCTGGCCTCTCCTCCCTCGTCATGGTCCCCGGGTCCGTGCAGGAGACCCTGTCTGATACCCTCCTCCCTTTTCTCTGCCCCGCACTCTCTTTTGCATTCAAAATCCAGTTTTAAAACTTCCTTCTCTGCAAGGCTTTCTTGATAGGCGAGACGAAATGAAGTGTGGGGAACCGCTCGCCCGCCTTTTATGAACTCTCTCCACTCAGCACATAGAAACGACAGTGCCTTCACTGAGTGCCTGGCGAGCTCAGGGTCAGGCACGTGTCCCTCGGGGCTCCCCCCAGGCTGTGGACCACGGCAAGGGGTGGCATGTGGACGATGGGGCTGAGGCTCCTGGCCCACGTCGCCATGTCCAGGACAGGGTGTACCTGAGCTGCTGCCGGCCCTCTGTCAGCTGTCTGCTTTGGTGGTGCCCCCACCCCGCATGAGTGACCCCATGTGATCTTTGCTTCCCCCTGGGGCCACTGTCACTGGTCCCTCCTCAGCTCTGCTTCCCTCGCCCTCCAAAACCCCATTTTGCTGACAGCAGCCCCCACGCCCCCAGAAGTTCCCATCCGTGATCCACTGAGACATGTCAGTTCCAGGGTGTTTCCTGTGCTCAGTTCCAAACTGAAAAATTTAATATCTTTATTTTATGTTTTAAAATTGTATGTAATTCTACAAGATTTGGGTTGAGTGACTACATGAACAGGATTGGTGGGTGCGTGGGGCGGGCAGTAGGCTGTCCTTTGGGTTCGCGGACACTGGGCATGGACGCGGGGCATGGGCTGGTGTCCCTGGCTTGGAGAGGACGACGCCCTGTGGCTCCGTGAGGCAGGCATCAGCCCAGCTTCGGCCTCAGTTGGCACTCGGTGCCGCTGAGGCCCAGGCGCTGCCTCGCCGTGTTCCTCCGTGCGGTTCTCAGGGGTGGCCTGTGACGGAGCAGCGATGTCCAGGCGCAGATGTGTGACTCAGGTGACTGTCGCTATTCCTTCACAGGAAGTTCTCCAGAACCTATACCGCACCAAGTCCTTCCTGTTTGTGGGCTGTGGAGAGACCCTTCGCGACCAGATATTCCAGGCGCTCTTCCTGTACTCGGTGCCGAATAAGGTGGATCTGGAGCACTACATGGTTGTGCTCAAGGAGAGCGAGGACCACTTCTTCAAGCACCAGGCAGACATGCTGCTGCACGGGATCAAGGTCGTGTCCTACGGGGACTGTTTCGACTATTTTCCAGGATACGTGCAGGACCTTGCCGTTCAGATCTGCAAACAGCGCAGTCCAGGTACGGGCTTCCTTTTTCCCCTTGCACTATACAAACCGATAGGGTTCCGCCAGTGTTTTCTGGCCTTTCTTCCCCCCCCCTCCACCCCCGAGAATTCATTACATACCACAAAATAAAATTGAGATCTTATGTTACATACCGTTAAATTCACCAGTCTTCCAGTTATTTCTGGAAGATGTCTCTGAATACTTTAAAAATGGCCGGTCGGGGTAATCGGTACGATCGCCATGGTCTGTAAGTAGGACCTGTTGGTGGAAGGCCGTGCGTGTGGCTGGGAGTGTTTATTCCTGTTTCAGATGACATGCCACGCCTCAGGTTACTTTAACCAAGAAAGAAAACTGCCCAGCCAGCTCCATCCGCTGATACTGAGACCTGAAAGATGAGGATGTTTCATACCTTCATCCTGTCACTCCATCTTAGGAGTTAAGACCGCAGAGGCACAAAATGATTTTATGAAGACTTTTCTTTCTTTTTTCAAACTACGTCTTTTCCGTTTTGCTGCGTGCAACACCCTTTAAGTAATTGTCCTGTCCCTTCTCCTGGGGAGCTTGTCACTTGCCGGGAATGACCAAACTAGTCAGGTAGCTGGGCCTGCGGGCGGTTACTGGCTCTGAGTCTGGTGCCATGAAGTCTGGATGATGGCAAACTCGGAGGAGCCTGTGTTGACTGTCGTCTGGTTGTAATAGGAAACCCAGACGCACTCACCTACACGGTGGAACTGGGTTAAGCACAAAGATGGCTGGACATGCCCGGCCGTGAACTTGAAGACCGGAGAATGCTAAGCTCACGGGTAACCGAATGCACGGAGGACCCAGCACCTTAGCTTATTCCCATGCGTTCTTTCCGAATTGCTAATACTTAGCAAAACGGACTGATTTAGGTTGCATTTCCATAGAAAGTACAGGAAGGGCAAGAGCCGGTTTCTCACAAGGAGGAGGGGACTGACGCGTGCTGTGTCACACACGCTGCTGTGCACGTTACCTTGGCCTGATTTCCGTTTCAGTCACAGTAGCCACTGTGACTTTATAGATGACGAGACGAGCTCAGAGAGGAGCATGACCCAGCCATTTGGTGCCGGGTGTTTTGAAGCAGGATTGGGATCCCGGACCGATAGCAGTCACGTACTGCCTAGTGTGTCCCCCGGACGGGCCCGAGCACGTGGCTCTGGAGAGGGGTAGCGGCTCACCTCCCTCCACCCCTAACCACCCCCTCTCTTGCCTCCACACGCACAAGTACCCGGAGGACCAGGACCCACTGTGAACCCCAATGAGCTCGGGCTCCTGGAGCGCCTTCCTGTCCCCACCGAGGCCCCTTTTCCAGACCTTGGCAGCTGCCAGGGGCCTGAAAGATCTTTGGGACTTGTTATCTGTGAGTGTGTCCTTGAGGACATTTGTACTTAAATTCGTGAGGTGCCTCTCCTCGCCGGAGAGGGTGGCATACTGGTGATGACAGAAGTAACAGTGACAGCGGGTGCCACGCCGTGCTCCGGGCCGGCTCAGGGGCTTCACGTGTGGCCCTGGGAGGTGGAGAGGACAGGGCACGAACCAGCCCACCGTTCCACAGCGTGCCCGAGTGGGCCTCCCCGCGCCCTGTCTCGTGGCCTCGCCACTGTCTCCCCTGCTGGCCGGAGCAGGAGGGACGTAGGGTCTCTTCTGCTGACTGTCTGTCTCCCTTTCTTCCCTAGACGCCGACCGAGTGGACAGCACCACGCTGCTGGGTAAAGCGCATCTTGATTTGGGTCGGCCCCTTCTCTTCCTGCCGCTGTCTATACAGTCGCACACGTGTCCTCACGCTACGTAACGTGGCCTGTGTTAGAACAGCTCTGACAGGGATGACACGGTGGTGCCTCCGTGATGGTCCCCGCCACTGGGAAGCACGGTTGTCAGTCGTGGGCCTGGGAATAATCCCGGCCCTACGGCCAGAGTCACAGGGAGGTCGGGACAAGATTCTGTGTTCCAGCCTCCTGTGCAGGCTGCGCTAACCGTGACCGTCCCCTTCAGAAATTTTAGTCGCAAAGCCGCTCCGCCTTCGCGTTTGCAGTGCGAACGCTTTTCCCCTGGCTCCGCTGAGCCCGGGTCTGAGTTAGCAGGAAGTGCCCGCCCGGAGGCCTTCCCTGGGTGACCCTGGCACCGGCTTTGTCCACGCCGGTTGCCGCTGGCCAGATGGCAGCCATGGGCTGGGCTTCGTGCGCGGCCCGGTCCCCGTGGACCCAGCTAGGCGGCTCCACGGCCGTGGGAGCCGGCGGTTCAGGAATCAGACACGTGCGCGCGCGTGTCTGATTCCGCGTCGAGCGTTTACTAAAGCTGCCTCCTCACCTAGACGTGACTCCCAGGCCCTCCGCTCCTTTCGAGAAAGCCTTTGAGTGGACTGAGGTCCGCGGTGGGACATCGGGTCCCGGGAGAGCCGCTTTCTCATAGGAGCCTTCGCCTTTCAGGTAGCGCCTGTCAGGACTGCGCGAAGAGGAAGTCGGAAGAGAACGGGATCGAAGTGTCGAAGAAGCCCCGGCGAGCAGGTACCGCGCCACCTGCCTGGCTGGGGGTCCTGGCCACAGGGCCGGGTCTCACTGCCCTTGCTGTGGGTGGAGGGCGTGGCACACAGGTCATTGCCCCGCCAGAGGCACCCACTTCGGAAATTTAAGGGAATGTGTTATTGAGGAAAAACACACACAGTGCACGGGCTGTGAGGTCAGCCAGTGAGCCTTCAGCGGACACACCCACGGAACCACATCCGGGTCAAGACACAGAACATTGGCAGGACCGCCCCACTTTTCCGTCACTCCCCTGTCTGACTGTCCTGACTTTGTCACCTTAGTCTCCAGAGAAAACTCCTTTAGGTCATTTGTGTTTTGTTGCCTCTGTGACCGAATGAGATTTACTGGAACTGTTTAAGTGGATCATCTCTGCTGACTCGGGGCGATCTGGCTTCTCCGCTGTCCCCACTCCCTGGTTTCCGTAGCGAGTCATTCTGGTCCTTCAGATGATGTGCTCGTCTGCATTTCGGTGACTTCCCCCTGCTCTGGGCCCCTCCCCTGCCTTCCACACCTGCCCTTCCTCAGCCCACTTCCCTAAGCCCACCCGCTTTCCTCCCGTCACGTCCGTAGGACTCCATGGTTACAGGACTGAGGAAATTAGCCCTCCAGTTGCTCTACAGGTTGACTCTCGAAGTTGGAGAACAGAATCATTTACTTGATTAAAAAGATGTAAATATTTTTCCTAGTTAGCCGACTGTGTCGTGTTAATGGACCCAACGTCAAGATGTGTTCTGTCTGTCAAGGCCGAATGTGTTTTCACTCACGTTACACTAATCATGCCTCCCTTCTGACTGTTGCTTATTGATATTCCTTGTGTTTATTTTTTGAGGAGTTTCTAGATTCCTCTTTCCGCTGCTGTCCACAAAATGACTTTTCACAGTATTTTTTAATGTATGCGTCTTCTCCGTCACACTGCCCCTCGTTTCCCAAGACGTCGCTCTGCTCCGCTGCTTGCTTGTCACCCTGGGACGCCCCTAGATTACTGCCAGATCTCCCCCACCTGTTCTGCCAGACCCTCCTCAGGCAGCTTCTGCAGGCCAGCTCCTGGGGCTGGTGTGTCTTTGGGGGGTCCTCAGGCTCCGTGGGTGGTTACGGGGAGGTTCTCGGTTCATCCTTCCCCCCGGAGTGCCAGTCAGAAGCGTGTAGGCTTCCTGTGGAGGAGCATCCCACCCCATTCTCAGTGGCTTGGAGGTGACCTGTTGCTCTCCTTTCTGGTCGTCTTCCTTGTTAGAAGTTTCACGAGGACGTATGTCGGTGGATTCTTTTACATACCTCGCTCCATTTTCTTCTTCCATTTCTCCAGTTCTGGAATCATGTGCAGTTTCCTTGGTTTTACCTCTCTGCTCCCTCTTCCTTGAATTCACACTAGGTGAGATCTGGAATGATTTCTACTCTGTTTTCTCTAATGTCTTAATTTTCATTTTGTTTTCATTTTTCTCAAAATCTTTCTAGGAGATTCCCAAAATTGTATCAGCCTTTGGGTTGGATTTTTATTTTGACAGTGTCATAGTTAACTTCTCGGAGCTCCTGTTTTAGGAGTTATTCTTTCTTAGAGCATCTGTTATTTTATGACTGTGATATCTTTTCAAATATCTAGAGAAACCAGAGGCTTCCATGGGTCCCTGACTCTAGTCCATTCCTGAAAACATCGGTCTGGAGGAGTTTCAGATGACGGGGTTTATTTTTTATTACTTTATAAGGAAACCTCAGTAAAACACTCTTAAGCACCTGTGTAATACCCCAGGCCTTCCTGGAGCTATGAAGCATGTAACACATCAGTTACCCATTTACTTACCGTTTGTTTTAATTTCTCAGTGGGGATGCTTGAGCGGTACTGTGGTGCTGCGTTTGCCTTCTGTACAAGGAACATGTACTGTTGAAGTTGGCTGTTTAATGAAGGCAAATAACACTTAATCAAGTAAAATAAACAGTGTAATTTTTTAAATGGCTACTCGCAGAGTGAGTGGTGGCCTGAGTTAGGCCTGGCGGCAGGAGACAGATGGGGCTTTGGCCTCTTGCCGTCCGGTGGCGGGCGAAGGGGAAAGGGCTGGGAGCCTCGTGCGGGGCCGGCTGAGATACAGCTGGTGCGGTTCATTTTTTTCTGGATGCAGCATGTATCCTAGAGGGAGAGTTCAATTGTTAGCATTTTGGATAAAATTCTTTGAAGTCTTACAGCAAATATGTGGGTTGTGAGTTCAGCTGATAGGGACATCTGTAATTAATGAGATTCATGTCCTTTGAGTTGTTTCCTCAGGGCAGGTGGTTCTTCCCACCAGCATCTTCCCTGCCCCTTGTTCTACTCACGTCTGGTCCCTCAAGCTGCAGACTGGGAAGGCAGCCCAGGTGACTGTCCCTCTGTCCCAGTACATGGTGTGGGTTCCCGCTGCTGCTGCAAAAACAGGGCGGGACTCAAGTGGTGTGTGTACCAGGCGTCAGGGCCTCCTGCCTGGTGGACTTGTGGACCAGTGGCCAGCAGTTTCCCCCAGTCCCCTTCAGGCCAGCGCCACACCAGCAGCCACGTCTCCCCAGGCAGAGAGCCCTCTGGTCTCTCTCCTGTAGAAAGCTTGTCCTGTCCTGCATGCGGGTGACAGACCACCTTAGTTCTGCCGGCCACCCCTGCTGGCTGGAGAGCTCAGGGCACTGGGGCAGGCTCCCGTCTGCATGCTGTCCCCTTGTGCATGAACTGGCCTTCGTGTCCCCTGGCTTCCGCAGGCTTCTGTTGACACTGCCCGCCCCCATCCACCGAGAAGGGAGAGCTCACCCAGCTCTGTTGGTTGAGATTTCCATGGATCTTTGTAAACCAGATGTCATCATTTGCTTGTCCTCCGGGTATTTATGATGCAAAGCCATTTCTGGACAAAGGCTATTTCCATTATGACAGGAGGCGTTTTCTGTCTTTAGCACATAAGAAAAACTGTACAAAGTTTCTGCAATCGAAATCCTAACTGCGGACTTTTTCAAGCCAAATCTTAACATTTTGGTATTCCTTTCATTTTGTTTGAACAGATGATGCTGGAGGGTCTTGAAATCTTTAAAACCAATAAAACCTGCAACTTGAAAACCAGCCTTCTGTACCCACAGTGCCATACCCAGACGACGAGGAATGTTCAGAGAACGCCACACGGATCTCTCACTTCTAAACTGTCACGTACCCCGAAAGAGCCACGTGGGGGTGTGGCCCTCAGAGGCCGGTGAGCGTCCCACCGTGAGTTAGCCGCTTGGGAGGCGAAGCACACGCTCAGGTAGCCTTGGCGGCCTGGTGGACAGCTACCTCAGGGACGGGAGGGACCCGGGTTCTGGCTCCCATCGGACATGCTCTCTTGGTCATGGTGGTTTTTCCTAATAAAAGGGGGAGAATGAAGACTGTCCAAGCAACAGTAGTTGCCAAAGAGAAAATAAGAAACCGGACTCTTAAATTTTATAATTTTTATGTGGAAACATCTATTACTGTAGGAAGAAATTTAAAGTATGTTTGTTATGTCGGCAAATAGTAAAGTATGAATGGACAGTTGCGTTCCACTGGCTAGGGAGAGTGGTGTTTTTAAATGAATGGCTAGGTCACTAGGGCGTCTTTGGAATGACATGTTTTCAGTGACTTCAGTTCCGAAGAGCAGCAGGTCTAGGAAGTGAAGTCACGGTGAACCAGAGCTTTCTGAAAAGTGCAGTCCAGGTCCATTTTGTGGCTGACAACTGAGAAGTGACAAGTGGAGCACAAGACCAAGTTTTTAACTTTTAGTTAAGAGTGTAAGTTCCAAGCTTTCCAAGCCTGTTCTGGGGGGAGGTCCAACCTGTCCTCATCTCCTGGAACCCCTCCCATGGCCCGTGTGAGGGAAGGGACGTGCAGGGTGGCAGGGTGCGCTGGGTGAACCTCGCGAAGGGCCTGCAGCGCCGCGAACATCTTCCGGGCTTCCCATGGCAGAGATGTGCGCTGTGTGCGGGGCTCACTCCCGGGCCATGGCAGAGACTCTGCTTGGTTTCCGTTTGAGGCTGCCTATTTTCATGTGACATTTCTTGCCAAGCACTATGACTGATGGCACTGGAGCGCCCCACAAGTGTAGAGAAAGTTAAGAACGAAAAATGTAAGGTTGGGATATATAGGGACAGAGAG